TTTCCCCGCCAGAGACGAGATTGCCGTCGTTGTCAGCATCCTCGAAGCATTTCCGAGCGGCTGGGTCAACGCCCACAAAGCTGCCAACATCTTTCGCCAGTTCATGACGCTGACAACCAGCCCACCGAGCTACGGACCCATGCACTTTCAGACAACGATGCTCGGCAACGGGCCTCTCAATGCCGCGAGGGAGTCGACACACGCTATGCTGCGACCGATACTGACCAACCTCCTCGGCCTCATGCAAGAGGTCCTGGGAAAGGCGACTTGCTATGCCTTCCACGAGATGCCCGATAGTCGGGGCGGCTTCGCGGCGTTCAGCGGCTCTTTATCTTCCTTGTCCCCACCCGGACCCTCGCGAAGCCTTGGTGGTTCCATGTCAGGTCTCACGCCTGGGGCCGAAGGAGCCATGGATTACAACTGGAGTTCTCTCGAAATGGGCTTTCTCTGAATGAAAGCATGTGAGTGATTGAAATACGCAACGTTGCCTACTTTGGCGGGCTGCTCTGTCTTCGGCAGCTTTCGCAGTAAGCGCACGGATGCCGGGCTTGATCCAATCTGGCGAAACAACATCAATTGGTACCGAAAACGGGTATGATTGAGCATCAGATCTGATGCCCACGTCATTCGGTACGGTAATGCAACGCCCGCCTGATGGGTAATGTGATCCCAGCTGGTGAGTCACGGGACGATGGCGACTTAGTTCCCCTGTATTCATTCGGCTCCGGTGCCTTCGGCCCCCGTTTGACTTGATTGATCATCTGTAGAGATCTCAGATGCGCATCGTCACTGTGCCTTGGCTGCCCGATGCAGCAGCAGATTGGAACGCCCTGCGTCAGAGCCTAGTGTGAGCCTCAACCCACGCACCCCGAACGAGACACAATTCCCGGACTTTGGGGGCCGGGGCAGATGCTAGGCCTGGACCGCCGCCTGTCGTCTACTCCACTTGACTCTCGGAGGCGACGAACGGGCCGCTGTGAATCGTCACTACCGCGATTCTGGTACGTAATGACAGGCGGTCAAGCCCGGCAGCGCTTGTGTCTTGGCTTCCCGAATAGGTCAATAGACGACAACATGTGGGGCCACGACGGCCTTACAGTTCTTTGCCTCAGTCTCATTCGACTGACGGGAATGGCAATCTTTGGAAAATAAGCCTCTTGGAGCAGCGTTTTGGGTAGTAGAGAATCGACTTCGCAATGGTGGTCCCACGCCTTGAATCTTTGTGGCGGCCAAAGGTGCTTATATTAATAGTCTTTGGTCCTCGTCTTCTTCTACCATGCTTGTTTATCCTTCACTGAACATCAAGCTCATTGACTGCCCTACCTCAACACCACAGCTTCAAACGACATCTCGCCTACTCGGCGGCCGCCCATCATGTCGGAAAAGCAGGCACACCAAGCCACAGAAGGCCATATTTCTGGCCAGGCAAACGAACCCATGACGGCGCCGGCGCACGCTCTGTCTGCCGCACAGGTTGTGGAAGAACTCCAGACAGACTCAGCCGCCGGCTTGACTGTCGAGGAGGCTTCTCTGCGTCTTTCAAAGTATGGCGTCAACGACTTTGAGAAGGAAAAGGGTGTTCGTCCACTCCAAATATTTATCGCCCAGATTGTCAACTCCATGGTCATGGTACGCATCTCCAGTCACCAATTGCCATTGTGTTTCAAACGCTCACCTGCCGCAGGTTCTTCTTCTCGCTCTCGCAGCCAGTTTTGCTATTCAAGCTTGGATCGAAGGTGGTGTACTTGCCGCCCTGATTCTCATCAACGTCGTCATTGGCTTCTTTCAGGACTTGCAGGCCGCCAGAACCATCGCATCACTGCAATCCCTCAACTCGCCGACGGCCAACGTCATCCGAGGCGGAGCAAGCACCACGGTGGAGAAGGCGACTCTCGTTCCCGGCGATATCATTGAACTGAAGACGGGCGACATGGTCCCCGCTGACGTTCGCCTTCTTGATATCGTCAACCTCGAAGCCGACGAGGCACTCCTCACTGGCGAATCCGTCCCCGCGCGCAAAGATCCCAAGGCCACCTTCGACGGCGAAGACACCGGACCCGGCGATCGCCTGAACGTCGCCTTCAGCTCGACTACCATTACCAAAGGCCGCGGACGTGCTGTCGTGTTCGCTACCGGCATGTCAACCGAGATTGGAGCCATTGCCGCTGCTCTCCACGACCAGGGCGGCGACAAGCGCAAGCCCAAGAAAGACGCCGATGGTAACGTTAGCCTTGCCGCTCATTTCATGTACGCCCTTGGTTGCGTCTGGGACTGGTGCGGCGCTTTCCTCGGCTTGACTGTCGGCACACCCCTGCAGCGCAAGCTTTCCCGCCTGTTTCTGTACATTTTCATGTTCGCTATCGTCTGCGCTCTCATCGTTCTCGGTGCCAACGGCATGAAGGGGCGAAGCGATGTCATTATCTATGCTGTCGCGACGGCCATTGGCACACTCCCCGTCACACTCATCCTCGTCCTTACCATCACCATGGCCGCGGGAACCAAGGTCATGGTGGAGCGGAACGTTCTCGTGCGCAACATGCGCTCCCTGGAAGCTCGAGGTGGCGTCACCAGTAAGTTGCCCTCTCTTAGCGCTGACCATGGACGTGACTAACGTGACCAGATATTTGTTCCGATAAGACTGGCACCTTGACGCAGGGCAAGATGGTCGTCAGAATGGCATGGCTTCCCAGCCTCGGCACTTACTCTGTGGGCATGAGCAACGAACCGTACAACCCCGAGGTCGGCGGCGTAAGCTTCACAGTCGCTGAGCCCAAGGACATTCCCGCCGAAGATACTGAGAGCGCAAAAGTCATGCCCCTCGATGAGGCCGCTGCCCACTCAGCCCTTCGCCACTACCTCGATGTCGCCTCGCTTGCCAACCTTGCTACCGTCCAAAAGGTCGATTCCGAAGATGCGCCCGGCACGCAAGTGTGGAAAGCATCTGGTGACCCCACAGAGATTGCGATACAAGTCCTTGCCACGCGCTTCGGACGCACAAGCCCGCTGTTGGCCAGCTCCTCGGAGTGGAAGCAGCTTGCTGAGTTCCCTTTTGATTCTGCCATCAAGAAAATGTCTGTTCTCTTCCAAAATGAGGTCACGGGGGTGGTCCATGCCTTCACCAAGGGCGCTGTCGAGCGCGTCATCGACAGCTGTACTTCCTTCTCTGCGACGAGCGATGGCACGACTCCCATGACGGATGCCATCAAAGCTGACATCCTGGCCAACATGGAGGCGCTTGCACGCCGCGGCCTGCGTGTCCTTGCACTGGCCAGCAAGTCCCCGGTCCGCGCTGTCACCGAAAAGGAGGCTTCGTCCGGCAATCTGAAGCGTGACGAGTTTGAAGACGACCTTATTTTCCGTGGTCTCGTCGGAATCTACGACCCTCCTCGTCCGGAATCCCGACCCAGCGTCTTCAAGTGCCACCAGGCCGGTATTGGCGTCCACATGCTGACTGGCGACCACCCTGAGACTGCACGTGCCATCGCCGGTGAAGTCGGCATCCTTCCGTCGCGGATGGATCTTCTGCGGAGGGATATTGCCGAGGGCATGGTTATGACAGCACACGACTTTGACCAGTTGACGGACGAACAAGTCGATCAACTGCCCGAGCTGCCTCTCGTCGTCGCGCGATGCGCGCCGTCTACCAAGGTCAGGATGATCGATGCTCTTCATCGCCGCGGCCGCTACGTTGCCATGACGGGCGACGGTGTCAATGACAGCCCTAGTCTGCACCGTGCAGATGTGGGCATCGCCATGGGAGAAGGTGGCTCCGACGTCGCCAAGTCTGCCTCCGACATTGTTCTCAGCGACGACAACTTTGCAAGCATCCTAAATGCTGTAGAGGAGGGACGCCGGATCTTCGATAACGTCCAGAAGTTCATGTTGCACGTTCTGGCCGCCAACGTCGGCTTTGTCACGACCCTGCTCATCGGTCTCGCCTACAAAGATCAGGACGGTGTCTCCATCTTCCAGCTGACGCCCGTTGAGATCCTGTTTATGCTCCTCGTCGCTGGTGCCTTTACTGAGACCGGCCTGGGCTTCGAGTCGGCCTCTCCCGACATTCTCAACCGCCCGCCGCAGAGTGTAAGTCGAGTTTTTTACGTGTTCCCCAACCTTGCTGACTCAATGACCAGCTCAAATACGGTGTCTTCACGCCCGAATTCCTCGCTGACATTGCTGCCTATGGCGTGCTCATGGCCATCTGCATCCTCAGCTCCTTTGTCATTGTCATCTTTGGCTTCTACGGCGGCAACCTCGGACGCGACTGCAACCTCGAGTGGTCCGAGCAGTGCAATGGCGTCTTCCGTGCCCGCTCGACCTGCTACACGGCCATGATGTGGATCTTCCTCTTCTTCGCCTGGGAGCTCGTCGACTCACGCCGCTCCTTCTTCGACGGAATGGTCAGCGACACGCGCCGCTGGGCGCAGCGCCTATGGTGCAACAAGTTCCTCTTCTGGTCCGTCATTCTCGGCACCATTAGCGTCTTCCCGACGCTGTACATCCCCGTCATCGACCACGTCGTCTTTTTGCACGACGGCATCGACAAGGAGTGGGGCATCGCCATCGCCATGACGGCCCTGTTCTTCGCGGGCGCCGAGGGGTGGAAGTGGGCCAAGAGGGTGTACCTCCGCAGGCACAACCTCATGGTCCGCAAGGACGCGGGGGCCACGGAGGAGGATCTCGAGGCGAGGGTGTTTGAGAGGTTCTACCAGGGCAACAGCGACGGGAGCTTCAGCGAGAAGTAGCCCATTGTATGGCTCGCCAGGTGAGGATCAGTGTGCATGGTTTCTTTAGCATCGCATGGTTTCGGCGTTGGGCAGCGCTCCCCTCTTCGCGGGGGTTGAGCATTCTTTCTATAGATCAAGTAGACTGGGTTGGCTAGAGTGCTTTCCTTGGAATAATACCATTTTCCTTGTTGACGCGAAGAACACGATTGCGAATTGCGCCCCGCCTCACCATGCCTTATCCGGGGTATCAAATATCGTAGTTGTAGACCAGACTTAGATCCAGTACCGTGCCCACACGCCATGCTCCTCCCTCGTGCCACGGAACTCGAACTCCAGCTCCGTCACGTCCTGGAAGCCCTCCTTGGCTTTGGGCTCACGGAAGCGCGACTTGAAGCCGTTGAAGGCGAGCTGCGGCAGCGCCGTCCTGGATTCGGGATTCATCTACCGTCGTCAACAGGCTAGTCGCGGAGGAAAGGGTCGTCAAGCGCAAGGAGAAACACGATGGAGCCAGGATTCTAGGGCTTACCTTTGTGTTGAGCGCCCTGACGACATCGTTGTGCTCGCAGACGAAGAGGGGCGTCTTGAACCACACGCAGCGCACGGGGACGTCGTGCTGCTTGGCGAGATTGACCCACACGGCGCGCGTGTCGGGGTCGGCGTTTGTATTGTCTGGAGGGCATGTTCTGTCAGCCACGCATTGTTTCTCATGCCTTGCCAGGGGGCGGCTTTTACCTATGGCGACGGATTTTCCGCTCTGGAGGAGCTCCCTCGCCGTCTTGACGCACTTGTCCCGCGTCTTGAGTATGTCCTGGTTCACGCGCTCGTAGCCCAGAGGCTGGAGCTGTCTCCAGTAGAATGTGCTCTTGCCCGCGCCGGGCGGGCCGCAGAACAGTACGACGTCTTGCTTGTTCCTTTTCTCGAAGAGGGGCGCCTCGTCCGCGCCCTCGCCCCTGTCTGTGCCTGCGGCTTCGACGTACGGGTGCAGCGCGAGGTCAAACTCCCTCGCAAAGACGCGCGGCGGCTCGTCGAGGAAGAACTCCTCGGGCGTCTTAAAGGGGACGCCGATGTTGTGCGCGAGATTGCGGTCCGAGCAGCTGAAGTCGCGGGCTGTCGCACCGGCAGCGACGCGCCCGCCGGCGTCGCCTACGAAGAGGCTGCTCGCAAGGTCGACGTCCTCCGTGATGTCGTGATCGCGGCAGAGCTCGTGCCACATGCCGGGGCGGGGCTTGCGGAACATGTCCTTTGCCGTGGCGGCGTAGAGGGTGACGGGCAGGTCGAGCTGGGCGAGGACGGCGGCGCATTTCGTCTTGAAGTCGGAGACGCGCTTGGCGGCGTTTGCTTTGGGGGTTTTGGATTTGGGGTCCGGGTGTAGGGTCAGGCCGGCTTGGTTGGAGAGGATGATGAGGCGGTAGCTGGGCGGCCAAAGGTTAGCGGGGTGCATCTTAGGTCACAGTCAAACAGCTTAAGGGAAGGTGCTTGTTTGTACTTTTCGTCGTTGTAGAGTTGTTTGAGGCGGGCCGGCACAGAGGGGTGCCACCATTTCCAATCATTGCCGTCGGAGGCGTGCTTCTTGCCTGAAGATGTCGCGATGAGGGTCGAGTCCTGGATTGTTAGCCGAGAGGAGCCTCAGGCGTACGGGCTCTAGCAGTTGTTGCATACAAGATCGAAGGCGGCCACTTTCCGCCTCTTGTTTGTCGAAGTCTCTTCTTTGGCTTCAGGTTCGTACTTGGCAACGAGCAAGGTTGCTGGCGTGTCGTTGTTCGGGGCGCGCTCTGACCAGACGGTGCGGTCCTTGGGTTTCTGGGATATTGGGGTGAAGAAGTTGGCGACCGCGCCCTCTGCATCTTATCAGTGTTGATCCTGGGAGAAAGGCAGGGTGTAGATGTGTGGCTCACTTGTGGTGCCGGAAGCGAGCTTCCTCTTGAGAGGGGGTGGTGATACTGGTGCATCGGAGGGCTTGCGCTTGGACGAGGAGGACATGGTGGCCGGTAGATGCGTTCGATGAATGTCGAGAATGAGGAATGAATGTCTAAAGATCCTAGTGTATCTAATGGGTAGTCGATTATATAGGCATGGCATTGGGGTGCTGCCAGTCTTCAATGGCTGCCTGTCGCTGAACCTGCTTCGTGCTTCTCTTGGCTGCTGCTCTGGATCAAGTGGGGGAAGACCCTGAAAGCGCGCCTCGCAGAAGCTCCAGCGCGTTGCAGCGCGCGCAGTGGACGGGAGACCACGTGACATGCAAGGCCCGAAGCTGGTCCCTCGTGTGAAACCAAATGATACCGGGCAGGTGTCAAAGGCGGCTTACCTCAGCAGAAGCCTTGTCACTCACTGAATCAATAGATACACAGAAGCTCACCTCCAGACCTGCCATCGCCAACCTCAAACGAAGCCCTCACTACCCCTCGCACAGTCGATCGACAAAGGGGTCACCCGTGGGTTTCTCCGCCATGTACGAAGTCTTTCTGTCCACCATTGTCGCCGATGAGGACATCAAGGCAACATGCTCCATCCTCGCCGGCCTCTGCGCCATGCCACCCTGGGAGAGCCTCCATCGCGTCCTCTACTTCAAAGGCCCCTCACGACCCAATGGCATCTCAAACCAGAACTCCATCGTCAAATCCCAGCGTAAAGATGTGCCCGGCCTGTGGAAAGATCTTCATCAGCAGCTGAGTCGCCAGTCCTACGTCATTCAGGCCCGATACGAGGTCTTCAAGGACAAGGACTTTGGCACCGAAACGCCTGCCGACTTTGACGCCCGCGCCGGCGTCCTGCGCTGGACCGACTTTCCCGACCCGCCGCACAAGGGTTCCGCCGTCACGCAGCGGAAGAAGAACGAGATCTGGGAGCAGCGGAACCTGCCCTCCATCATGCGCGACAACAAGTACCAGTACGGTCGCCTCCTGCACCACCCCCGCCGCTCCATGCCTCATGCCTTATCATGCCTTACCATGCCTTGCCATGCCTTGCCATGACCCACCGTGAGCAGGATCTGACAAGACGCTGACGCAATCTCCAGGCTCAAGAGCGAGGCCATCGAGGAGACGTTCCAGTTCTACCGCGACGACGCCGAATTCTGTCTCTTCCGTCACTACCAGCTGCCCCCGACCCCGGACGGCACGCCCCTCGCCCGTGTCGGCGCCTGGGAGACGGGCTTCACCCCCTCCGATCCGGCCCGCCGCTGGATCTTCCTCGTCAAGGTCCACGTCCTGCAGGACAACAAGCCCGACGAGATCCTCAAGGCCCACGAGCAGCTGGCCAACATTCGCCGCGACCTCGAGGGCGTCTTTGAGTTTAAGACGTTCGACCGCCGCATCCACGACACGCGCGTCGCCGTCGAGATGCGCAACGCCCCGGCTCCGCTGCCGCAGGTCATCCGGGCGACGTAGCTTTTATTTTCGTTCTTCCTATCTCCTTCTTCTTCTTCTGCCTTTCTCTTTTTCACTAAGCAAGGCGTTGGCGGGCAGGTACATCTGATTGATTCTATTCTCTCTTGAGGACAATGCCCAACATGGTGGGTGATGAGTTGTGATGTGTTTCGAGTCCATCGAGTTTCCTATCCGGCCTCGCCTAGCCTTACAGACCCTTCTGAGTCTCTGCTGGCTATTGCTGATCCCGGAGCCATTGACTCAACGGTCATACAACGGGCAACGAGCGCCGAATATCCTGGCTCGCCGCTCTCCGTGGAGACTTTCGGCCTGTTGTGTTAGCTCTCCGTAGATGGAAGCTCTGTCGGTAGACTTACAGAATCAGCTACCGACGTTCCTCCTGGTCGTTGCCGCCGCTGGCCATCCGAGCGACGCACCTGGCGTCCCTGGCTGGCTCACAAGATGGAGAGTCAAGGGTATGAACGAAAGATTGAGAATGACTTGTGTACCGCCACCGACATCCAATGCGCGGTCCATCGTAGCATCCTGATGGGCGATGCCTCCCGACACGTTGATCAGATCCACCGAGCTGGTCTCCCAAACGCAGGTGTCCTCCTCCTCCTGAATCACAGGTCTGCTGGCTTCCATGCTAGGGCGTAAGGCAGACGGACTGCCAGTGCAGGTCGCTTCGCTTCACGGGCTACGGGTCTGGGCAAGACAGCCTCCACCAAGCTGTAACATCTTGATGCAATGCCTACACTCTTTTATGGTGGACTGTTTGGAGGAAGCGCCCAGATGGCAGCCTGGGGCTGAATGCACGCATAAGGGCGTAAGACCACCTTGCCTAAACAGGTAAACGAGGGGTTGCAGTGTCGATCGCCCCAGCCCGACACGACTAGAGGAACTCACTCATGTCAAGCTCGCATTGCATCTCTGGGAATGTGTCGAATTCACAGGCCTGCATGTTTCCCCCCCGCTCGTTTACCTGTTTAATCGCCATCCCTTCGATAGCGTCATGGGCCAATCCATCACACAATGGCGCCCAAATTTCAAGTCATGTCACTCGATGAGGCCGGGCTGACGATTCGCGAACACAAGAAACGAAAGTTTTCACCCAAGACCCGAGCCGGCTGTGTCTCTTGTAAACAGAGGAGAGTAAAAGTAAGCGTCCGCCGAGCCGGAACACGACAACAGTCGCTCAAATATCACAGTGCGATGAGACTCAGCCTACATGTCTGCGCTGTCACAGAAACCAGCGGACCTGTCTGTACGACAAGACGCCCCTAACGTCCTCCCGCCGTCCACGACGCAGCCTGGTCGCGGGACAGAGCCCGCAGTCGAGCACATCCTCGTCCTCAACGGCCTTGGTGGCCCAGCCCGCCTTTGAGCTCCCGGTTCCGGTAGACGCCGCGATCAAGTATGGAGGCACACCAGCCGGCGTGCTTCTCCAGTTCTTCAACGAGAACCACGACAACATGCTCGCCGGTGCCCCTCTCCATGCAGTCTGGGACATGGCCTGTACATACCCCCACCTCCTGACAGCCATCCTCGGCGCATCAGCATGCTATCTCAGACATCACACTGCCAACCCCGCCGCCCACCAGATAGCAGAGATGTACCAGCAAACCCTCACGATCCAGTCGTTGCAGGCATCCCTCGCAAAGCCCCTCTCCCGAGACCGCGCAGACGCCCTCCAGATGACAGCCATCTTCCTCAATCTTCTAGCATTCACTGCCGTCCCGGATGAGAACCCCCTCGCCTCGTGGGTCTTCAGCACCGCCCCGGATCGCCTCGGCTGGATGAACATCCTCCTAGGCTTCAAGCCCCTGCTCATTATCACGGCCGCCTTCCGCCGCGGCAGCCTCATGACGCCTATGTATGCATCGGCCGATGACGAAGAGGGCACTTTCACGCGCCCCGACCTCGTCGTCGACCTGCCACCCGCGTGGTCTGCTTTTCTGGCCAGTACCACGCGCCGGGTTGACCTGTTCGCGGAACCAGTGTACATCCTCGCGGCAACGAGGCTGGTGGCGCCCCGACCGGAGAATGTCTATCAGTACATGCAGTTTATCGGGCGCGTGGAACCGGCGTTCCGCGACCTGCTGCTCGCGGGCGACGAGCGGGCGCTGTGGGTGTTTGGGTACTGGCTTGGGCTCGTCGGGCGATTTGACATGTGGTGGTCGAGGATGCGCATTCGGAGGGACTTTGAGGCGATCGTCATGTGTCTTCGTGCCAAGGAGCTCACGGAAAGGGGGCACGGCGAGGGACACATGTGGATGGAGCTGCTGGATGACCTGGAAGGGCTGCGTGAGCAGTGGTCTGTGGCCATGCGGCGACCAACCCGTCTTCCTCTCGCAAAATGACGAGAGGGTGCGTTTTGGTTGTTTAATTTCAGTCTCGGAATAGACTCAGCCTGCTGCCGGTTTGAAGCGTAGCCAGCATCGCTTGTTTGGCAGTGTAGCTCATCCGACTAATATACCTACACTTTTATCCTTACCCCAGTCTGCGCGCGCATCCACCCGATCCACATGAGCAACATCCTTCTTGTCAACTCCACAATCCCACATTCAGGGCATCGCAGCCTACGCACCTTTAGCCGAAAGTGCCTCACCCCGCTCTCTCTCCGAAGGACATTGTGCCGTCACAGGAGCCAAGACGTTCATCACAGGGGGGGCTGGCGCAACGGCAGCGCGTTGGATTCCAGCTATGTGTCTCGCTTCAGAGCACGTCGCAACCCAAAGGTTATCCGTTCAAATCGGGTGTCCCTCATTGCAAATTTCTTTTGTCTTTTTTTGCCTTGCACTAGCTTCTTGAGGGCGGTTTCCGCTTGAACTATGCCATTGTCCGTTTTTGAAGGACATTGATTGCAGGTAATGGAAGAGAGCTAGCAGCATGAGGTGCTACGCAGGCCGTGCGAATGAGACCGTGTGACCGCAGCTCCATTAAAAGCCACATCCGGGCTGACTTTGATGATGCAGCAGTCTCGACTCTTTGAGTGATAATCCCGAGCAGAAAATATTGGAAAGTTGCCCGCTTATCATGACAATCAGACACACCAACTCACTCCCGTTACATCCAAAGAATGGAGCTACGAAAAGCTCAACTAGGATTGTAGACGGGCAAGTCCGAGATCCTGTGAGGGCTAGCTTTGTTGGTGACGTGCTCATACAAACAAACAGACCTTTTTATCGGCAGATAGAGTTGCTATCTTGGGTTTCCCGTGAACTACAATCTAATTTAGACTACGACGGAGCCAGTAACGTATTCGCAACGATCACCTTGATGACACATCAACACCTTGCATACCTAGTCTCAGGCCCGGGGTCGTAAAGTTCCTTGTAGTACCCTATCACTTGACACGTCGCTGTTCGACTTACAAGCCAGTTCCAGAAACGCATGGCCAGCAAGTCGGTAGGTATGCGGGATGTCCCCCACCAAGTCAAACTAATATTATAAGGCTTTGGAAGCTTTACCTAGTAACGTCCTGTCAAAACCTCGGGGCCTGATTGCCAGTCGCGTCATACATACATAGTCATACAAGAACCGGGATGTCGACTGCGAGGCGGGAGACTTCTCGATGACAGTCTGGGACAAGGCAGCCTTCACGGACTCCTCCACTCACGCCTTTGTGCTTGTTCCGATGTTCCGATGATCTTGTTTCCGGTCCACGAGGCGTTATATCGCTGGCAATTCGAAACAAATCCCGAAAGGCTAGCTGCAGTTCCGCACGCCGCCCCAGACACATCCAAACGTCCCGGAAAGTCGAAGAGAGCTGACAGGTGATTGCTGATCGCCGCTCTTTCGGCAGTTTCAGCACACGGCAACGTGCGTCGAGCAATCAACCTGTCACAAGCAAAGCTCGCCAGCCAACGGCAAATGCACATGACAGCCGCCACCAGGTCGTGGTGGCCACTCTCCTCCAGCTAACAGCAAGGCGGCAAAAACACTGAAAGGCACACTGAATGAAAACACATGTCTCTAGTAGCATCCCCCGAACCCCAAACGCGCCACCGCATCACAACTCACGCGAGTACTCAATTTGCAACCCTCGGACCAAAAGACCTCGGTCAGCCACCACGGAACTCGGGAGAAGGACGCTAGAAGTCTTGCTCCGAGATGCAGTTCTCACCCCGTTAGCAACCGAGCCGGCGCGCGCGGTGACACCGCCCCTTTTGCCCCCTCCCCCATACTCCTCCCCCTCTCCGCCGCACGCGACACCGAACTCCTCCTCCCGCCATCAAGCCAAGCAGCGCATCGCCTCAACCCGTCCGCGCCTCCGTCCCCGAGACCGGCGCGCCGCGCTAACGAGGTCGAACAATCCCCTTGTCCGACGCCACGGCAAACGCCTAGCGCAAGACATTGCGCCTGACGTCTTGACTCAAAAACCCGAACAAGCCTGCCGCTACTACTTGTCCTTCTTTTTGGCCCCCCTCTTCTGCTGGGACTTGCCGTGAGACATACACGCTACGGCCGGCCGCTGCGCCGGCGAAAGGGGAAAAGGATTGGATCAGAGAGTGTGGAGTAACGAGAGAAAGAGAGGGAGGGACGGCGGAAAGAAGCAAGTCCACGTGGCGACCGCGAGTTTCCATGGTGCCCCCGCCCCCGTCTTGTTTGCGAACCATTCTAGCCAAGCCAGGGAGGGGCATAGAAAGACCCCTTCCTGTCTCAGGAAGAACCTGCTAGGCCGCTCTTCCAACTACGTCGACGGCTGCTCGCCGCCCGCCCTGCATCACATGGTAACGTCATGCATGGCCTAGGCTACTTTGACTCCAGAACGTGGAGGTGGTGAGTACAAGCAATCGCATGTGGCGTGAGTGGCGTCTGCTGGCCGACCTCCTCGCATGTGAGGCAAACAAGGAGGGCTCCCCTGCGTAAGGTGATGTTTTGCCAAACATGATGGTTCGCAGGCGACATAGCATTCACAAGCAGGAAGAAGAACGGACTATTGAACATTTCAATTGATCTCCTCGTCACTTCTCTCGAAGCCGGAGGCCGTCAATCCTGAAGATCGCGGCATGGTATTCGTCCCCTCTCCACCTCGCCTGTAGCAAGCATCTCAACCCAACTGGGGTATATCAGTCCTGTGCTCCTGATTCGTGTCTCCCGAAAAGTGAATCCAGTACATGTCTAGTAGCGTTCGTGCCTTTACTTTCCAAAGCCCCCTCCAGTATGTAAACGGCTCACAAAACACCATATATACACATCGCCTCATGGAGAAATAAGAGCAAACAGCTCGTCTAGCGTGACAAAAGAAAACGTCAAACATCGCATCTGATCATGAGACAGGTGGTTGACAAGTGATGAAGAGAACGGCAAAATAGAACAAGGGAAAACTTTCGAGGCCTGAAAAGGCAAACTGCTCGCGACGAGGTCGAAAACTCGCATGGCTCGCTAGTGGTCAAAGGAGTGACGTGGTTGGGTATCTAAGTTCGTGATTGAAAATTGGAGAACGGCCTCGTGAAGAAGAAGAAGAAGAAAGGCGGCAGTTGCGTGGTAATACGTCAAGTCGTCATGATTACGAAAAGGCCATATCGCTCAACGCCGCAGGCCCACTCTGTCAGCGAGCTGTCGCCAGAAACGACCCTTGCGGTCCTCGCTCACGGCGCGCACCATGTAGGCATCACGGACCATAGGGCCGACAATGTCCTCGTCGCCGCGCGAGGGGAACTTGCCCTCGGCATCAGCAAGACGGGGAATCATGGCCATAGGGGCGGGGGCGGCGTGCGCGCTGCCGGCGCGCCCGCGGCCACGACCCCTGCTTCTGCTTCGAGAGGAGCTCTGAGTGGCGCTTCGAACGGAGACAAAGTTAGGAAGCGGATCCTCAGTCTTGGAAGGCACCTGTCGCAGAGTGCGTTCGTGGGCATCGCGCCATTCACGATCAATCTCGGCCCATTTGGCCTCGGTAAGAGCGTAGATTTTGGAAGTCTGGCCATAGTTCTCGCCTGTGCGAACAATGTGCTTCGTGTAATTGACGCGTGCGGCGTCCCAATCAGCACGGAGGCGATGCAGGGTTTCCTGTGAAGCGTCCTCAGGGCGGTATGGTTGAGGCGTGATGGTAAAGTTTGCGTGGCCCAGGCGATCAGACCAATCATCGTGGTCTTGAACAAAGCCAGGTATGGCGCTGGGGTGCGACTGCGTTTGTTGATCCTGCGAGGGTCGGAAAGACGAGTAAGAGGGCTTGGCGCTCAAGCTGGGAGTGGGTGCATGAGAGTAGGGCAACGGCGAGGGCATGTCAGTGCCCACGACGGACGGAGCCCGAGACGGCGCGCGCGATGTTGCGCGAGACGGCGCCACAGAGGGGGACTGCAGCGGCGATTGCTGGGGGTGTTCGATGGGGAAGGCAGTGAGCAGAGGCGGCAGCAGTGGCGTGGTAGCCAGGGCACGCTCCCGCTCAATGCTGGGGCGCCTGTTGTTGGCCTTTTCGACATCGATGGCCGAAAGAGCAACGCTCTCGCTGCTGTCCCAGAAAGAGCGAGCAGGGGTGGGTGGGAATGTCGGGTCGTTCCCTCCGTTTGACATGTGACGCGAAGGGGTGGACAGAGACGAAGAACGGCTCGAATCTCGCCGAGAGAGGGTGCTGAAGACGTTCTCGAACCCAGTCTCAGTTGTGGGTGACGCTGTGGCTGTGGTAGGCTGCGAGCGCCTCGTTGATGCCCAGCGAGACAGACTGGGGAACCTGGTCCCGAAGCGGGAGGCCAGGCCCGACAAATCACCCCTCTGCTGCTTCCTGGGAACTCTCTGGTAGTCTGAATCGCTCATAAAGGCGTAGTCGTAGTCGAGTTCATCGTACTCTGACGGGTATGCGCTCATGATCATGTCTGTGCTGTCGTTGTGAACACAAGGCTCATCACCTAGATGCGCAGTGGCGGTTAGTTTGGGGGACTCTGCCTGATTGGGAGGGCGAATCATCCTTACACAAGCAGTTATACAGGTCGAACTGGTCGGACACGATTGTGTCTTCGTCCTCGCGCTCCATTGGCTCTTCTTGCACGTCTGGGAGCTGGCGTTTGGCGGCCTTGTGAGACGGAGGCCCCGAGGTCGAGGCGGCCGAGGACAAGGTTGGCGAGACGGGGCTGTCGGCGCACAACATTGGGGGAAGCTCGAGAGAGGAGGTTGAGCTCGAGTATCGCATATGACCGCGGGCCGAAAAGGTTGGCGTGAGGGGGGAGGTGACGTCCGAGGAGGACGAATTGTGGGTGTAGTAAGCAAAGTGGCGATCGGTTTCGGCGTCATAAGACTGAACCTCCATCTTCTTGCGCTCCTCGACAAGCTGGGGCAATAACAGCGGCTTCAGCTTGGGAGACATGGCGAATAGTTGGGGTTGTGGAGTGTTAGGTGCGTCCCAGAGGAGATTATCAACAGAGAGATTTGTTGATGGTGACTATGTCAACCAGGCGAGGCGTTGGCGGCGGTGGGGTAGATGTAGGCCAAGGTAGACGAGAGACTGTTGGGCAGCGGGATGATGTACTGCAAGGTGTCCCGGCTTGACAGGCTGGGTGCCGACGGCGCGGGATGAAAGTGTCTTGGGGGGGAGGCCCGGTTGAGCAACCCGTTCGTTTGGTTGTTTGGTTCGCGTGACCTCAGATAGTTGACAGCAGCGTTAAGGGTAGGGTAGGTAGGTAGTCTAGGTCGAAATGGACCAAGCAGGATATCTGCCTCCGCTCCCTCGTGCCCTCGCGTTCCTAGGGGTTCTCTGTCGAGCTTGACTCATGCGAACCTGTTACGAGGCGTTGCGGACAACGATCGTCTCAGAGAATGGAGTGGTGGTG